TCGATTTATGGTTTTGTGAAATGGGTTCGCTATTTTCGAATCAACATGGATGCTGTTACTGAGCACAGCCCTTAAGATCGCCTTCCCTTACTTGCTCCATGGAAGCGTTTTGAGTCATAGCTGTGCAATAGCAAATTAGGGTTTCATAGGGGTTTCTCTTTGAGACCCTTCTCCCAGCCGCTTATCATTTTTTTCTTGATGTGGGCATCTCTCTTCTGGCTCTGTTTCCCCATTGTAAAACCCTAAAGATCAATGGGCTCTGCCATTTTTCTTTAGCTTGTTTCTATTATGGGGTTTCAAGACCGCTCCATGGTGAGATGCTTCACTTTCAATGGTGGGAGAATAATTGTTTCAGAATTGTCGTTCTTCCATTTCGGTTGCCCTTTAGATCGATTTTTGTGTTGGGTCTTCTCAGATGAAGCATTTTTAAATTTGGGTTAACAATCTCTCTTCTCGATTCAATTACTTTTTGGCAAGAATGATGAATCAATTAGATGTGTGAAAGGATGAACTCTCTCGTGAACTCAACCTTTGAGGCATACTAATCATACTGACTTGCCATTCTTTTAATCAGTTCATTTTTCTTTTCATTTTCAATTGGTTTTGTAATTGTCATACACTATAACACAGTAACACTACACTTGGAGATCATTAGTTTTTCTTCTATTTTCTTAGCTTTTTTTGTGGATCTGTTAATAATAAAGGTTTCAACTTTCAACTGAAATCTTGGTCACTAATGCGCATAGACAATGAATTGGGAATCTATACATTAAGTTTGAGATTCATATGAATGTCCATAGGCTTTTTAAGCCCTAAAGACAAATTTCCTTCAACAAAAAGTCTACTTTACAAGTTTCAATACCTAAGCAATGGATTTTGAAAACTCTGCAGGCAACCAATTCCCATTGAATATCATCTACCAAGGAAACACCATTCATTTCCTGTTATCTTGGAGATCTCTTAAGTACTTGTCAAATTTATCCTCTTTGAGCTTTACGTATTTGGAAGGTGAACCAACTCCTAGTAACAGTCTTGTCTGTGCTATGTAATAAAAAATAAAAATAATAATAGAAAAGAATACAAAATTTGATGTCATGCAATGAAATCTAATGAAACAGTAAGAATAATAAAGCTAATCAAAGATCCATCTTCAGAACTCAATCCCTCTACATCCAAATTAAACTACAAATATACATACTAAACCTATTAAACTTGCAATATTACATTATGTTTCAATCCCTCTACATCCTATGACACCTCAATGGTAACCTTGAGAACAGGGGAAATTTCTGCAAAGCCAAAAGTGGCAAGAAATCTCTCACCTAATACACCCAAAACGTGCAAAGGTGCAATATCTAGCAGTTGCAATGAAAAGACATTAGGAGGGGGGAGGGGTTCTGGGAGGCACTTAGTTTTGCAAAGATCTCCTATGGACATCGGCACAAAATGCTGAACCACATTAAATCTTGTGTGTTCTCTTTTTTTCATTTCTTTTGATTTCCCTCATAACAAACATATTATATGTATCAAATACATCAAGTGTTCCACTGTTTAGTTGCACTAATGAGTTGATCATTACCAGGGTGATTCATCGATAATTTGCAAGGCATTTGCTTTGACTTAATTGTGAGGCAGTCATTCTTGATTTCCTAATTGAGGCTAGCTCAATTAGAGGTAGAGTGTATTTGAACCCTTGGACCACTATTTCATCCCTGTCATGAGAATAAGTCAACCTAAGCCCCTAGACTAGAGCCAATTACTTGGGCCAACATGATCCCCATTGCCCCAGAAGTCCAAGGCTTGCAAATTATCTTCATTGTCCCCACACCACTAATTCTAGATAGCTTTGATAACCTAAAGAACCATCAATGTTAAACTTAGCAGTATAGTGAACAAAAAACGTCACAATCTCCAAAACATGATAAGCAGGATTACGGAACAAAGTCTAACAATTGGATCAATCACTATCTCCAGAACATGATAAGCAAGATTACAGAACAAAGTCTAACAATTGGATCAATAAAGAAGAGAGGGAAAAGAAAAAGAAAACCCAAGACTATCAGAAACCAAACCCTAATGACCCACATTGGCATGGACTAAATAGATGATTACAAAGGATGGACTATTATATCTGCCAGTTAGATTTTCCAAAATGCACTCACCTTTGCCATCATCAAAAATGCACCACACCAACTCAACATGACGTCCTGTATATCAGGAGAGACCTAGCCAACTCCACATAAAGAGAAGAAATAAGTCCAAATCAATGACACCACAGAGCATTGAATAGAAAAGTATGGTTGCATCATTCACTGTTTTTGCAACATCCCATACACCTATCAGGATACGAAGGTCAAGTCTTAAGATCTTACTTGCTAAAGTGCTCACAAGCTCCTATGTAATTATTCTGAAGGTAACATGTGCTTCAGCAACCTCAGGTCTTAAGCTCACCGGTGTTTATTTTTAAATTGCAACACATCCTTGGCCCATGAGATAAGAGGTACACCATAGAGAACTTCCAGATAAATATTTCATAATCGAAAGTTATCAGGAAACAAACAACTATTCTAATCACTACAATTACTGCAGGAAACAAACAACCATTCTAATCACTACAATGACTGCAAGTTAGTATCCCATTATCAATTTTCTCACTGGTCTTTGGCTTATTAAAGCAAATGAACCACAACTCTGGTTCTATCGGTCCTAGACTCTAACTTACAAATAAGACATTATTTGAATATCACCTTTAAGTGTCATGAATGTCCTTCAAAATTCACATAAATGTATAAACAAGACATTACTTTTCACTTGTTCCCACTATTCTGTACCTATTCCCTCACCCCACCCCCCTCCAAAAATAATCTTCCAAACACAAGAAATTAGACTTATGACTTTTTTTTTTTTGATCAATTCCTTTGTTTTCCAATAATAGTCCAAGGATAACTGACATTCTGTGTAAGTTAAGATGGTTCCTCTAATATTTATATTCTGATTCACAATCTCCATCAGAAAGCCTAAAAAATATCTCCATCAGCAAGAATAGTATAACTATAATTCCCTAATGTAACTCCAAGAGTCCTACATCATTGCAGCTCCATCAAAACCAACCCTGTAAACATATATTGAGTCATATTGAATCTAAACAACTGGTAGGTTTAAAGGCTTGACTACAACGTGCTACCAAGTAACAACAAAGAAATCTTATGAGCACACACCATTCAGTACTCACACATCCTCCCCATAACAGGGCCTACAATTTCTTTTTTGCTAAGCAAACTTGGCAGGAAAATGGAAAGGATGAAGATGGTATTCCAGATCACTAGACAAGTAAACAAGTTTCCTTCCTTTTAGTTGATACCACAATCAAGAGCTGTGGAAAACATAATGGCATATTCTCAACTTATCAGCAGATATAACACAAGTAATAAGACAAGGTTACATGCATCTTTCTGCATGATAGGTGGTATCAGAGCATGGTATGAGTTACTAGCCAGAAGATGATATAGTGAGATTCATATCTAAACCTACAGAAAAACCACATAGGTTATCATCAATTATCTAGTCAAAGGATTATTAGCTTCACAGGCAATTAAAAGGTTTCCTGCGGAATGATTACAAAGGGAATTAAGATACCTCATACCACAGGAGAGCACTTCTAACACCTAAAGGATCAATTATAGCACTCATAGTTCCACAACCTCCATGGTTTCAAAGTGCAAAAGGAGCTGCATAATTACCACTCATAAATGTCCCTTTCCCCAGAAGAAACTCCCTTAAATCAAAAAGGTAGAAACAGTCAACAAAACTAATATGAAACAAGAAATAAGAGAATAGTTTGTTGACCAATACAAACTAATTAATAAAGTATAACTTGATAATTCATGACCAGTAGAAAGATCACATCTATTACCAGTCCCAGGAAAACCCTAGCTGATCTACAAAAAACTAGAAGAAGCAAGCGCGGCCAGGTCAACCGACAGAAAAGAGTAAAGCAGATACTGCATTTGTTTGATTATTATCGTTAATATCCTTCTAGTCTACAATCCATCTAAAAACCAATTTGTAGTGTTTCTATAACTGCTTTGGCAGGATTATCTTACACTAAATCCTTGCTTAAAATAGGAGTGTTATTCTCTAAACCAATTGCCCCAAGAGATTCTGCTGCCTGCAAGAATGTGTAATGCTTCCTGGGTCTTAGGAAGGGTGGTGGACTGGATACAGACCCATTCTTTGGCATTTTATTGCACGATGTGACCACTTTTACTCGAACCAGCGTTCTTACGCTTCTCAGTGCAAGATTTTACCATTACACCAAGCAATGGCCCCTTATGCGTGCGCTCATTGGAGACTATAACAAGTCCACACAGGAGGAGATGAAAGAGAGAGCTACTCTGTCCTCTCTCTGTCTTTCATCCCTACAGAGTTCCTCACTGCTGTCATTCAAACAAAAGGTCAGTTCCGGGTGGTTGCTAACTCATAAATAACTTTAGTGAATTTCTGGGTGTTAAAATGGAATCAAAGTTCAATTAGAGACATTCATCAATCTTCAAGGAGACTTACGACGGACGAGAGAGGACCGGAGCCGCTGAAACTCTCGGAAATTGGTTGGTCTCTCGATCAAGCAGTGAGTTTCTCTCGGTTTTCGGAGGAGGGGGTGGAAGGAACTCCCGTAAGCCATGGATCCACAGAGAGCCCAGGCAAGGAACCCTAGCTCGCTTGCCAAACTTCGAAGAGGCTGAACAGCTGAAGAATCAAATTAGATAGATGCCCCGGGAAAGCGATAGAAAGTGTAGCCGTTGGCGCCAATTTTTATCTCTCTGGTTTCTGCTCAATAGAAGAATGGATGGTGCTCCTAATGAGATGAGAGGGGGACCCGCTGTTTTTAGAAATCAACGGATTAGATCTCGCCAGTGAAAAAGACTTTACGGTGGAGATTCGCACTGCCAACAAATCGATTGACCATGCACCGGGCCGCACTAAACGAGAGAGATTAAAAAATTAACCTGGTTGGATCAAATCCAGTCTATTAAAATCAAAAGTAAGAGGCCGTGTCCGTTCTCTCGAACTGCTTTACGAGGATTTTCGTCAGCTTCCCTCCGAAGGTACTCTCTCTCTCTCTCTCGCCTTTTTTAATTGATTTTTTCTTCTAAAATAATACTTGAAAATTGGTTATCACCAGATCTGAATTCGTTTCCCTTGGATCTATTCGGAAGAATTCTTTATCGACGAGCTGCCGCCACTCCTTTGTTTTCTGCAATTCGAATCAGTCACGATTTCCCTAATTTTCTTGTTTAGTTTTTCTCCTTTTGTAATCAGCGAAAGCTTTCTTGTATCTAAGTACTAGCAATCTGTTTTCTTAGTTTGGTTTGGAAATATTTCTAGTTTCTAGCCCTTTTATATTTTTATTTATATTTCCTGCTCTTTGAACAAATTTCTTGGGATTGGATCAAATTTATTTAATTTGTAGATTTATTTCAAATTTAGTTTATTTTTCGGTTTCTTATTTGTCATCTCTCTTATCTCTCGCGTCGGTTCTGCTATAATTTGTGTGAAATCTCTTAACAGTGAGAGCAGAAAATTGAAGGCTGCGCTTTTCAGGAAGTGGAAAAGAAAACAGAAATTACTGAATCCCGCAAGCAATGAATTCCAGAAGGTTTGCTCTATTGTTTTTCCCCTCTAATTTTTTTGGGCCTTTTGATTGGTGATTGCAATCCACATGAAATATCTATTTCATATTTGTAGATTTCATGTTATGGGACAAGTTCTGAAGTTTAATTGTTTCTCTGGTAATTCCTCTTTTATTTTAGTTTGCCACTTTGTAGGATGCGTTTCAAGTCTTCATTATTTGTGAATGTCCCATATGGGTAGAGGGATCAACAGCCTTCAAGGCTGATTATATGCTTTTATAGAGACCAGAGTACAATATTTATCCCCTCGTACCCAACGGCCAATACAAGAATTTCTTACTATTCCATCTCTAGCTAACTATGATCTAATTGTGCCGGCTGACCTTCTAACTGATCTCAATTAGCTGTTCACCCACACTGACTTCAAATGATCTTGCTTCCCTTGTGTAATATCTTAGGGCCCGTGGACCATCAGCCTGTAACCTCATTCAACCAATCACTAACAAGCAATCCCTCTAGACCTTATGAGTAATTCATTCTTAATCCTTCTAGTTTTAGTAAGAATACAATCTCAGTTCTTATTGCCATGTTTAGCAATTTGACCTGACTGAGTACCATCTCAGCTGCCCCATTGGGTCCTTGAAGGCACCCCTTAGGTGTGGTGAATCTGGATTTCCTATAACCACCCATTGAAGCTTCACTTTTTCGCCTTGGGAAGTGGAGTGGGAACCCATTTATATGTTACTATCCAATGCACATGGATTAAAAGGGGGAATGTGATTGTATTTTGACAACCCCTTACAAACAAGCCAATCAAAGTCAAAACCTTTCTAAACTCTTCCCTTGTATATATTCAACCAGAAACTTTTACTTTGATCAACTGTGATGACTTATATTTCCACCTTTTTAGCATGAAACGTTCTAGAATTTCTTTGCAATCAGATATTCAGATTATTGCCTGGTTTTGATTTATTCTATATTGGAAAACTAAAATTTTATATGAAACTCAAATGGTATTGGAGCGTGGATAATCAGATATAATGCATCTTCCAGTACCAATTTACAAAACATACAGTGAACAGAATCAGCTAGGACGCAATTATTAACACTGTTGTTAGTAGAACTTTCATTTATGTCTTATGCTTGTCCACCTATGAGGCTATGACTCCCATTGAGGGGAGTGGTAAAGTGGTCTCCTTCCTTTATCTCCATTTAATCCTGTGGTTTCATGTTCTTGCCAAAAACTAATTATATTTGGCAATGAATTATTATTCTTTCAATGACTATCATTTAAAAATAAGTATGTAGGTAACATGCCTGTCTCCCCATATGTCTACCAATCGAAATATCATTGCATCTCACCTCACCTTACAGTATAAGAGGATAAATAATATTATCAATTTGGTGAGATTATATCTTGATCTCTGGAAATTTTGAGAATTCTGAATTTCATTTAAAATTTAAGGAGACATTCTGCGATTTCATTTGTAGTAGTAATCACCACTTTTCTATACAGCAGAATGTATGAACAGGTGGTGGGAATGGGATGGGGACAATGATGATGATGATGATGCTAATGAGTAACAGTAATCACCACACTATTTCCACAAGGAAAATTGTTATATAGAAATAAATTTCCTTGTGGAAATGGTGTGGTGGTATTTATATAGTATGTTTGCCTTACTTTGATAAAATCTTTTACTCCTGCAAGTCTGTGGAGTAATATATTTTCTGTTGTGATTGCTTATACTTGTTATGGATGCTGATTTTCTTTATTTATTTCATGGTGCAAAATATGCCTGGGGAGGTAACCTTTGAGCACAAATACCATAATAGAGTAGTGCTATCAGAAATAACTACTTGGAGAAATTTGAAAAGCATTTGCATAACAGCTTTTGGCTGTTTCTCTCTTTCCTATCGGTCTCATTTTTCAAAAGAAAAGGGAACAATAGAGTTTTTTCCTTACATAAATGAAACCTGATTACAGTTGCTGATCAAAAAACTACTTGGAGAAATAAAGGAAATGGCTACAATGACAATGCTGAATAATTCCAGAATATAAATATGTAGATAAATCTGAAGCATATTTCATTTAGCAAGAGTGGGTGTTAAAATTAATCGCTTAGAGAACTTAGTGATCAAGGAAATACCTGAATAAGTATTGAAAATAACTCGTTATCATAGTCATCCATGCAAGGTTCATAATGTTGGTATCATATATCCTATTAGGAAGCTTGGATACAGACATGGATACATTTTGGATATGTATGGGTACGGTGGAAAGATATGGATACACTTGGATACATTAGGGAAAGTCTTACAAATCCCACAAATACATCAATAACACTAAATTTAAGGTTGAAATAACTATATATAAGGTATAAACACATGAGAAATGCACATTTTAAGAGCTTGTATGAAGAGATATGTTGCAATCAACAGTACAACCAGGAATCTAAAACTGTAGATACCATACAATAACTTTACTAGGAATACATCAAATAATGTTTGAGCTTCCAATCTACTAAAAATTCATTACAAGACACATCAAGTTGTTCTTAGATGAATAACTTTGATAGATCATTGTCAGATCCATCTTACAATTCATCTTACCATGAAAATAAATTGTTTTTCTACTTTTTGGTTTTTTTTCCTAAATGATTAAGAAAACATCATTTTTGACATAAATTGTTCTTAGATCAATGAGTTTAATAGGCCATTGATGGATCCATATTATAGTTCTTTCCTGCAATGAAACTCGTATATAACATAAAAAATTATTTTTTTATAATTTTCAAACTTTTAGTGGTGATAGGCCCTCAACAGCATTGTTCCATTCCATCCATGCCTTAAGATATCGAATATCAATATGATACACCCGGTATTGAGCATATCATGACAATATTTTGAGCCTTGCATCCATGAATGCTATGTTCAAGAAAAAAGGATTAATGAACAGTTATCACTTGCAGTTATTTATAAAAAAAAAAATTATCTCTTGCATACTTTCCCTTTTTTGGATTGCTTGTAAATAGTGTGGATTTACACACTGTCAGGATTCTGTGAATGCCCACACTGTAGAGGAATTCTCCTTGTTTTTAATATGCATTTCCCTGTATAATTCGATGGAAGTATTTGATAGAGCTGTAATAGAAAATCCTCCTTTATTTGTTTGTATCCAAATGTTCTGTTTGATTCCCATCATACAGCATCTGCAGAGCTTTGAAAACTAAATTGGTCTATTTTGAATATAGTTTTTTATTAGCTTGATTTAATTGTTTGGCTGATTAACTGTAGCCATCATTGACTTGTCAAAGTATTTCTCTACCTATCATCACTAGAATTCTAAATTCCAAACCACCTAACCCAACAATCAATGCCAGCCCTTCAGCCTTTAACCATGAGCAAACCTCAGAGATTGGTTTTTAGTGCTTGAGGGCAAGCAAGGTGCTGACTGCAGTTTTTGTTATTCAAGAAGGATGAAAAAGATATTGAAAACTTGATTTTATCATCTAGACAAAGCAATAACTTTCATTGCATTAGCACAAATATAGAACGAATGTGGAAATTGAGCTCCATGTTTGTAGGATTGGGATCAACTTGAATAAGGTCCAGTTTAACAAGACCAAGCCCTAACCCAGTTTGTTTCGTTAACAGGATGGGGATAGCCATTGTAGAACTGGACAAGAAGGCCTTTAGAAAGATAATGCAGAGACATACCAATAAAAAAAGATAAAGTAGAGATACGGAGATCCCATAAAATATTTAAAACATAAAAGAAAATGTATCAAGCAATGGACTGGGGATAGTTTAACCATAACTTGGTGTGTTCATGTTGTGCAATTCAAACCCCATTCTTACCTAATTAGGTCACACTAAACTTACCCCTTCAACCCCAATTATCTTGGTTAATTGAGAGCCCTAAATAAATGTAACATACTACATTTGTTATCCAGAAGGTACTTAATAGGACAAATTTAGCTTGTAATTATGGTACATGTTAATATAGATTGTCTAATGAAAATATAGTTTAAAAAGAAAAAGAAGAAACTTATGAAAATAGACTCTATAAGAAAATGGCTCTAATATCCAGAAAAGGAAGATAAAAAATTAAAAAAAAAACACTAAACTAATAGTTGTATATTCAAACCCATATGCTGTTTCTTTTCTATAAATTCTCTTAAATCCTTATCTGAATGGGCCTCTTGGAGATGTAGTTAGAACTTCCTCAAGGTACCAAAATTTTCTTGACATGCAAAGTTTAGCAAGTAGAGTTCAATTAACTATGATATTCAATCTCTTGGTCTGCATCCCTAATTGCACACAAGTCATGGACTTTTACTTCCACGTTGATTTTTCACAATTGCCCAGTGCCTTGCTTCCATGACAGGATTTTTCTATTACCCTCACAATTTCCTTAATAAAGGCTGATTTGATTTTGAATAAAAAAATCATAATCTCATTTCGCCTTCTAGCCTGTCTGATGCTTGATTTATCCTAGTTAGAATTTGTAACTCTTTTCTCTTATTTAGACTCCTATCTTCTGCCTCTGGCTTCTCTAAATTTATCCTCAATATTTAGAATATGAGCATGATATAAGTAGTAATTCTTATCATTTTTTAATAGGTAGATAAGTAGTAATTCTTTTAGCTGGTGTCTTTCATGTCACTGGCATAAAGGGAGGGTAATATTGGATATCTGGGAAAGTGCCTTGAATCTTAGTTTTCAACATTTTAGTGTTTTTTTTTGTTTAGCAGAATTTGTGTAGAAGAGAAATTCATAGCACATTGCTGTTGTTTTAACAACTAGCAATATTTACAAGGTTTTGTCCTTGTTCTAGTAAAAAATGGCCTTATAGAAGTTTAATCCAAATAGTAATCCTACACAAAGTACTTGAGAGGACACATGCAGATTAATAAGTTATCAGCTATTTGAAGGAAATAGCTATCTTGTGGAACATTGGGGAAGAAATAAATCTATGGAGATATTCTCTGAATTTTCTATGGCTGACTTGTTGAGAAAGTGGAAAGAGGTAGCTACCGCTGCTCTTTGTAAGAGGACCTATAGACCCTCTTGGACCCCCCCCCCCCTCCCCTCCCCTCCTGCTGGATTCATAAAACTGAATTTTGATGGAAGTAGCTTAAGGAATCCAGGGCCTTCTGGGATTGGGGGTGTGTTCAGGAATGAGGAGGGGTTTATTATCGCCATGTTCTCTGGGCCAATTGGAGAGAGTGACTATCTTAGGGCCGAGATTCTAGCAGTTCTTGAAGGAATCCAAAGAGCAAGAGAATTTAGCATCAGATGCTTAGTTATTGAGGGGGACTCGGAGCTGGTGATTAAGTGGCTGAAAGGAGACAACAGTGGTTTGTGGAGCTACAGCAATGAAAAGAAAAAATTTAAATGGCTGAGTAAGGATATAAAGGTGAAGTACAGTTGGGTGAAGAGAAGTGCTAACTCAATGGTTGATGGGTCAGCTAAGCAAGGGGTGGCTAAGGAATCTTTGTTTTGGGCTAATTTTTAGTTTTTTTCTTTGTCCTTTTGTTGCTGGGGTGTTAAGACAGTTTACCTCCCCCTTTTCTGTAATTAAAGTTTCACAAATATTATTCATTAATAAAGTTTTCTGTTATTGATCAAAAAAAACTTATGACATGTTGGTATACTGTTAGATTTTCCCATTGATGGGTGATGGGGTTAGATGGTGGCATGATATAGTGAGCAATGTTGTTAAAATCTTACAATTTACAATTAGAAACATGAATCCCTAGGGTTTTGATTCAAATCTTATTTCTGAATCCTTTTCTGCAAAAATCTTATGATTTGTACAATTCATTGTGATTCAAATCAATTCAATTAAGAATTGGTTTTCTACTTTGTCATTTTGTTTTGATTATATTTAGTTTTGTAAAGGGTGACTTGTTTTAAAGACTATACTAGAAATTGATTTATTTATGTTATTTAAGTCCATATATTGAGTTTATTTTCTATCATATGTTGAATAAGGAGCCATTGTATGTGAATTATTTGACTTTCAAGTTAAACTTGATTATATCAGCTTAGACTTCTAGTGTATAAGTGGTAAATCCTATTGTTTTAGGTACATATATGGTAGATATGGCTTAAAAATAAGGTAGAACACTTTTCTATATATATTTATCCTTTTAGCATATGTGTATTTAGTTTTTTGCAAGGTTTGAAATTTTGATACATATTGGGCCGTATCAGCCGATATGTATCGTATTGGGGGCTTCCCGATACACCCCTACAGGAGGTGTTTCGGGGTTTAACCCGGTTCAGGGGTAGACAGGCCTTAAACCGACCCCTCTGAACTAGGTTTAACCCAGTTGATATTTTGAACCTTGGTTTTTTGACAAATTTGTAAAAAAATAGAAATAATCTCACGATTTACAATATGATTCACGATTCGATTTGATTCAATTTTTCTATGATTTATGATATGATTACGATCGTCAGAACATTGATAGTAGATCATTGACATTGACCATATACAGACTATGCATGGAGATAGGTCTCATTCCAGGAAGTGGTCTAGCTTAACTTTGATGGATATTTCCTTGGTAACCCGAGGCCCTCAAGGCCTCAAGGGTCAAAGGAGCTTTTAAATGACAAAGAGAGGGTTTAAGAGATTATCATAGTCTACTCAAGTCCCATATCCAGGAAACTTAATTATCGCTAATATACTGCCCTCTAGAGCATAGGCTCAAATTGATGCATTCATTTTGTTTTCATCAATATGAAGTGGAGGCAGACTCACGAGTTGTCATTAGATAGGTTAGAGATGAAGCTTAAGGCTCCTGGTCACTATATCATTACATCAGGGGGCTAGATTTGTCCATCTAGTGTGTACTTATTTAGACAGATTTCAGGATGAACCATCTTCCTTAATGGTTGTGCAGGCTTAGTTATGCTACTGTTAAACTCGATACTTGGTTGTACAGATCTGATGAATTTTTAATTAGTAAACTAGCAGTAACTTATCCATTTTGTTATTTATTTATCATAAAAGAAAACATATATTGCATAACTTGTTTATATTCCCTGCATTCTCACCAATATGGCTATATATATAAGGAAAGTTTATTGTTCATGGTTTCTTAGCCATGGCTATCATAACTTAATGTGAGGTGTCCCGGTATGCAGGGAGTTTCGTAACAATAGAGCTGCTCTTTTTGATGGCATTGAGGAGGGTGCCATTAGAGCTACCTCATCCTACTCCCATGAAATAGACGAGAATGAAAATGATAGGGCTCTTGATGGATTGCAAGACAGAGTCAATCTACTGAAAAGTGTAAGTTTCATTTTGTTAGATGGCTTTCTGTTTTATTACGTCAATTTTCTATTATGATGTGATAGCCTTACAGATATTCAATATGACAATACAAGTTACAGAGAATTACACGGTTCAGGACGTCTATGCGTCTTTTTCCTTATTTTTCTTTGTTCTTGGCGTACACATCATTTGGTCTTCTATTATTTTTATATGGTAAAATCTTTTGCATTAAACAATTTATATGCAGTACAAAGTAGGGATAGGGTGTTTTTCAGGATTTGGTTTATGGTTTTAGAAACCTGCTGCCTTTCTCCCAAGTTTCTGATGAATTTCACTCTGTATTTTTTCTGCATGTTACTTCTCTGTGGTATCAGAAGTATCTTCTATATTACTGCTGAGCCAGTTACGGTGACTGAAGAATTTAGTTCTCCTTTTAAACTACCCTGAACTGAGCCAGTTATTCCATCCTAATATTGAACTTCTTTGAATGAGATATAACCTCATTGTAGTAGATCTTAATCATCATTAATGGATGATTCGTTTCATAGTAAAAAAAAAAAAATCATTGAATTGAATTTTGACATTCTTGTAATTTCATGATCAACAGTTGTCGGGGGGCATACATGAGGAGGTTGAAAATCATAACCGTTTATTGGACCGGATGGTAATGTAGCAGTCATTCAGAAATTTAAGATTTCTGAAATTGAAAGCATTCTCTTTCATTCCTTCAAAACATTGTTTTCACATGGTTTGTATGCATCAACCAGGGGAATGACATGGATTCATCAAGGGGAATCCTATCTGGAACCATGGATCGGTTCAAGATGGTAAGTAAAGCATGTTGGCCTGTTTTGTCACATTTCTTACTGCGAATTCAACCGCCATTGCTAATACAACCCAACTGTTACTACTGTAGGTCTTCGAGACTAAATCGAGCCGGAGAATGTTTACACTTGTGGCATCATTCGTAGCAGTCTTCCTAATAGTATATTACCTGACTAGGTGATGAATCTATCTGTCAGGATTTCTAGGATAAAATGGGTATGTTTAATAGAAATGGAAGAAACGATCTTTCATATACCTAATATCACCCTACAGACAATACGAGTAATCCCAAGCTCTTCAGTGTAAGATATTTCCCACCTACGAGTCTATATGAATGTGTTGTTGTGTTGGACCTATGTTGGATCATCAGTGGCCCTGATACCCTTCCCATGTCTTGACAATTCCTTGATAGTTGCCATGTATAATGAATGGGCAAGGACCAAATGGTTTGGGTGAAATTAATGAAGTCGTGGCTTTGGTTGCTCTTTATTCTACCAATACCACCACCAAGGCAAGAACCTAAGAAGCAAAGAAATTGAAGGTGCAAAATTTATCATGCAAATCTAATACTTGACCTCTTAAAATCTTTCTTTTGATGCGTTATTTCGGAGTTTGTTATTTAAGATGATGATCATTCATTGCCCAAGTACTTGTAATGTACTTGTAGTTCTGATTAGAAAAAGTGGGTGGTTGCCATTTGTCAATGCAGGAACTTAGGACGATGCCCATTTCGTTTTGTTTTTCAGTCGGATGACAAGCTCATCTTTTACTTTTTTGAAGTTGGCATTCCCACATTCTTCTGATTTTGGGTTTTCACCAACACGATCCATCTCTAAATTTGGGGTGATTTAGAAATAGAATTATTAAAATTTTGGTATTATAGAAATTGGATTATGGGATGGGTAATTTGGAAATGGGATTATGGTATTATAGAGGTTTTAAGAATTTGGAAGAAATTCAGAGATATTTTAAAAAATTAATATTAAATTTAGGGGAATTTTAGTAATTTATCATTACTTTATTCGGTCTGGGACAGGTTTGAAAAATTATATGCAAATCTCATAATTGTGCTGTTCCTGGTTCATGATAAAAATAATTTTTTCATCCCCGTTTAAGATGGTAGAAAACCTGTCCCACTTGCACGTAGAAGCATGACTTTGGTTTCATGGAAAAAAATTATCACCTTGGACCGGAGCCCCAAGTCAGCAGAAGGTCGAATTCGGATGTTTATCAAATCATATATTCGAATTCAATTCAATCAATTAATCATATAAAGAAGAATTTTACCTATTATAATATTTCAAGTATTTGAATTTGATTTGATTATCTTGAATCTCAAATTGAAAACTGTATTTGGCAGCCCTACTTAAAAGCACAAGTTGTTTTCAAAGCCTTAAAAGGGGTTGGAAGAGTAAGAGCATGGTTTTCAAAACTGGACCAAACCGGACAGTTGGATTGGAGAAATCGGAAATTGGTCAGGTGACTGATTCCGGTTATTTTCAAAACCGGATTTTCCATAAAAACCGTTGATTTTGGTTAGCAAATCGTTGACCCAGGCGGTTTGAACAGTTTTGACCAGTTTTCATTTTTTTTTTTTTGTTAGAACGGGCCGACCGTTTGGACCCAGTAATCAAACCCTTGACTGGTTAGGTCCCAGGTCGGTTTTAAAAACCATGGCTAAGAGAAAAAAAAACATTTGGATTGTAGTATGAGAAAACGAGATGTTTCACCCAAAACTTTAAAAAAAAAGTCAAAAATGAGGTGAAGGCTTATGATTTAACAATGTGATGGATCGATTTTTGAGTGATGTATCAATTTTTTGTGCTAAGTACCTCGTCATTTGGTCTGCTTCCAAGTGGTCGATGATTCAAGCCAAAGTAGAGAAATTTGGCTGTTGAGCTAAGTCGAGCTAGGCAGGCTAGGTGGCGTGCTGACTATAGTGCTGAGCTGCTTATGAGGTGTCGAGCTGACCAGGTGGCGAGCTGCCTGTGAGGTGCTGGACTGACCAAGTGCCGAACTGCTTGGTGGCGAGCTGAATTAATGAGCTTCGTTGCTCTTTAGAGACCTGCAAGAAACCAAATGTCAAAGGACCCGGGGTGGCTAACCCAGCGAGGTCGCTCCGATGCTTAAGTCAGTACTCTCATAGTAGACTGCGAGCTAAAAATCACAAAGTCTAAGAGCTAGAACTTGCTTACTTGCTTGCTTGCTTTTCTCCCCTGTCATTGGGGTTGGTGCCTTTATATAGGCCTTGTTCACGTACCGCCCTCGAGATCTCCGGGAGGTCGTGTCTAACTGGTCTGAGATTCCTGGAAGTAACTGCCATGCACGTTGACCACCCTCCGGATCGTTCGGCACGTGGGCCAACTTCCAAGAATCGTGGGAGTGTTTGGATATGCATACCGAATTTGTCGCTGAGCACGTCTCCCAGGCCGCCAGGTCGTGCCTGGACCAGGCTACCAGCTCGCGCCAAGGCCGGGCCGCCAGGTTGGACACCATCAACTTGGCAAGTTATTGCCTCAGTGGTTCTGGGTATCATCTAATTGTTCTGAGGTGCCATGTGTCACAAAGTAAAAGATGAGGTGAAGGCTTATGATTTAACAATGGATAATGGCAATGGACGGTACAAGATCACAAACAAGTACCCGTAACTGGCCCTACATAGTTGGGACAAGGAGTATACGGTGATGATGATTTCCTATTTTGGGGAATTCCAATCCGAAATCTTTCATGCTGATGAAAACAACCTCAGATGACTTTGAATCCAATCTCCAACCTAAAAAGTGTCATTTCCAACTTTGAAATCCAGCTCTAATTTTACATATAGTAGTAAAAAGCCTAACTTTTTTTATGTACTTTTTAATGATAACAACCTCCCTGCTAACGTTCACTCTGTGCTGCTTTATCATCTATCACAGTCTTATACCACCGACTGTCACCAACCAAAATAGGTCTACAAACCAATACAAGGTAGGTCCAAATTTTATTCGTTTATATTCGGATATAAATTGAATTTGCAATTAGATATAAAATATTGAATAGTATTAATAAATTAAAATAAAATTAAAATGAATTAAATTGGCTTTGGCATTGTATATCATGAACAGAATATATTAAAACTAATTTTATAAAACTTAAACCGATGTTTTTTTTTTTTTCAAAAACACGACGCAACCAATTTTGCTAATATATGTAAGCATCTATTAAGTTCATTTCAGTTTATTCTCCCTCCTCTTCCTATTATTTCCCAACCCTTAGAATTTTGTGGTATTTTTAAACGTTCTAAAATATTAAAAAAAATCAAACAATGTACTATTTAAACTCACCCACAAGGCTACAACCTATTTAATTTCCTTTTTATTGGAAAATTGATCTTAATCACTCCCTATAGAACATTGACATCTTTTTAACACTAGTCCGTGAATCATTATGGGTCACTTCTAGACTTCTAGTATACCTCTAAATTGAATTAAAATGGATTATATCAAATTAGATAGAGTGGATCCATATTTGATCCAGTTATAGAAGGATAGAATTCAGATCACCCTTCACCGGATTGAAATTCTTTGAATTCGGATAAATAAATACCATTTGCAGCCCAAAACCAAAACCACCCGGAGGTGGAATAGAAGGAATTGTGAAACAATTGGGCTACTGATGCCTTTATCTTCATCGCCTTCCAAAAGCAGCCCCTTCCTCCTCTGCTTGATTATCACTCACTGTCCAGTTAATGTATGAAATGTCTATCTTCAAACTTGTCTCATGACTATAGATATTTGGAGAATAAATTATTCAAATTGCAGAAACGCTTAAAAAATTAGAACCAACATAAAATGAGAAGCATGGAAAGAGTTCAGAAACCGCGAAACAACAGAAGCTGACCGCATACGAGAGACGGCTTTGGGGATTACGAAATGCTTTATGTCCATCAGAGCTTCATATGCCTGCAATTTTTTTTCTTGATTTTCAGCTTTGATGGTGGTGTTAATGTTGTCGTTACTCTCACGCTCAGCGGCTCAGGGTCAGTAACCCGTTCCAACTAATAGGATCAGAGCATTAAGGACTTTGTATTGGTAAGGCTCATACCCATGGAGATTGGAGATAGAATCTCAAGGGAGGGGGGCAGTAGAGGCTAGAGCCACGTTTTGGAATTCATGGTCTGGGGGAGAATCCAGTGGATGATCACATAAGATTTCAATTGCAGAAAACCTGTCATTAAGATTCTATCAAAAATTATCAGGCACTCTTCCTTCGTTTCTCTCTCCCATATGCTACCTTCACAGTTTCACAGCTTCACAACCACGTTTTGGAATTTCTTCCTTAGTTTCTCTTTTTTTTGGATAAATTATAAAGACCCTCTGTACTTTGTTTTGCCACAAAACCCCCCCTTGATTGTTAAGTCAGATGACAGAATGGGTTAAATTATCAAAATATCCCATTAAATTTTTTCTATTTTCTTTTTTTGTCCTTTTTCTCTTAAAACCTATTAAACCTATTATTTTCCCTTCTCTTCTTTTCCCCTCCCTCACTCTCCTCTCTCGTTTTTTCTCTCTCCCAACTCTCCCAAATGAAAGGACAGAGGAAACCCATTTCTCATCTTCCCTTTCTTCTCTTCTCCGTCTTCAATCTCGTCTGTGGTCAGTTTGGGAGGTTGTGTTTTCTTCTCTGTTTTTATTTCATATTGTTATCTTTTTTTGTGAGATCTAGGGCTTCTCTCTATCTCCTTCGCCCCAAGGAAAGATCAGATCATGATCAGAGGGCTTTGTAGTAAGCATGTTCCTAGGGACTCTGTTCTGTATCATCATGCATAAACTCAACCTAACAGTTGGTATAATACCTTCCCTCAATGTCGCTGCTGGGTTGCTCGGTTTCTTCTTTGTCAAGTCTGGACCGGTTTTCTCTCCAAATTAGGGTTCTCCATTGCTCCCTTTACTCGACAGGAGAATACTGTTATTCAGACTTGCGTCGTTGCTTGCTATGGCATGGCGTTTAGCGGTAACATATTTCTCCTTTTGGCTTTTCGGTTTCTCCTTCATTGCTGAAGATGTTGGAGTCTCGAGGCTCTTGGGATCTATTTGGCTCGAATTGGCCGTGTCATAACTCATAATCCTCTATCCTGGTTTAAATACTTCCTATTACAGTAATACTATCTAACGATTTCATTTATTTTCTTTGTTCCGGCGCTTTGGACTTTGATGATCTTGTTGGTTTGGGCCCTTTGGGACGTTGTCTAATCTGGTTCAGATGTTGGCCATGTTGCTTATAAATTTTCTAACCTTCGTAGATGTTGTATTTTTTTGTGCAATTTCTTTTTTTTTCCTTTTTGTTTGGTTGGGGAATTATGATTAGCAATATCCATTCTGTTATTCCTTTGAACAGGTAGCGGTCTTGCCGCTGGTTGAGATTGTTCCCTTTTGCTGGAAATTCAAAGCCTACCGGTTGCAGAGGTAGGCCGGGTTGTATCGCCGAGTTCAGGACATGTGGGGAAAACGGCAAGCCGTTTGTCATGGACAATGCGAACTATATCGTGGATTTGCATTTTAAGAAAGATATTGGGGATTTGAAGGTTGCTAGCGATTCAATTCTCTCTGAGCAAGATGCCTTCATAGAAGATTGAAACGGATCACCAAGATACCGTTCACGATGTGGCCGTGGATTATTATGGCAAGCGCTTGGCTACGGCTTCTTCCGATAGCACAATCAAGAACAGCAGTGCCGTATCTCTCTCCACAGAAGATTGAAACGGGCCATGGATTATTAGTTTACTCTCTCTCTCTCTCTTCATCTGCAAGGAACGAAAAACAGAGAAAATCGGGAAGAAGCAAGGGGAGCAGGATTTTGGAAGATCGCCGCCCCTGCTGCTGTTCATGTATGGTGAGGTCGGGGAATACGAAGAGTCGTTTCTCCCAATAATTATTACAAGGATAATATGGAGATTAAAAAATATTGCAATGGCGGGAAGGCTAATGGAAGGGAGTCTTCTGTCGCAAAACAAAGTACAGAGGGGTCTTTATCACAGATCCCATAGTACGGGGGTCTTTGTAATTTACCCTTTTTTTTTCTGTAGAGACACATGCTATCCAACTTTAATCAACTCTTGCATATCACATGGGTAGCCTTTTGGGGATAATATTGTCATCTGTATAAACATGTTCCATCCCCGAAATGACCTGAGATACAGAGCAAATAGATTTTTCTTCCATTAGATGATAGGCACAGACCTAAAGTAGTTTTATGTGAAATGGTTCTAGTTGGGGTCTTTGGGGAGAGAGAATTGATATGACAATCAACTATCTGAAAGGGCTTTGAAGAGAAAATGCATCTAGACTTTTCTTTGATAGTTAAATAAAGAAAAAAGTTTATCTAGAAATAGGAGGAGAAGAATACAATAGAGGTGATAAGGAATCACCCAATAAAGAAAAAGCAGCCCGAGGATCCAAACTCATCCCCAAATCAATACCAGAAAAGGCATAGAAATAACTCCCATCCCTTACCCTATCTAGGATCCAAAATTGCAACATGGAACGTCTTCAAAATCTCATAGCTCCCACGATCAACAGATCTGCCCTCCCCACCGCTTAACCTCACTTCCAACACTGACATGAACCCTACACCCAAATTCACACACTAACTTAACATAAAGACTGCACGGCAGAAATTCAACACTAAGCATCTCCACCGACCATAGCAGGAACCTCTTGGCTTTTCTTGGAAATTCACTTTGCCTTCTTTCACCCTTTTATTAGAACCAACCCCAAACAAACCCCCTTCAGCATGGCAAAGACGCTTGAAACATGAACATTGGTTCTATACTCTAGAACCCATGCCCTACCATGTACCATCTGATATGGAGTGGTACAAAGACTAAACACCATGAGACAGAACATCACAACATCACATACTTGCTCACTTTTGGATAAATAGATAAAGTGAAAATAAGGAAAGGGGAATCCAACATTGGTACAAACACTGAAGACCATGAGGAAATATACCAAGAGATAATTTTTATGTCAATATGGTTAGAATAACCCCCACTCACACACACAAAAAGAAGGGCATATAGATCCTTTATTACAAGTAGACAGGGTTTTATTAAATTTCTCCAACGCTTAGGTCCTACAACTTGCTGCCCTAGATATATTATTACCCAAAGGGTCCCCAAACATATTCCACCAGGAGATGCTCCCCACTCTTACATCCCAATATGCAGGCCAACCTATTGTAGTTCATAGATCCGCCACCATTATTTCTTCGGTTCACAAGGTGGAGATGAATCACTTCAACTCCTCTTCCTACCAGGAAGCAACTCAACATCATATAGTGCTTTACTTTCATCATCAACCAATCAAGGATATCTCCAAAATATGTGAATCAGAAAGAGGAAATGCAAATGCTGCTAAGCATTTTTTATATGAACCTGCAAATGCTTCTAAGCAGATCAATTGATCCAAAATCCTGTGAACTTAATAAACCATTCCTTTTGGTATCAAGCACCATATATCATTCAAACTCTTCTTTTTCATGTACTTCATTAAGCTTCTATGGTCCACAGTCCACTATCACCAATTCCTAGAATCTTCAGAGGACCAAAATAACACCATCTAAGCCACCATAAACCATATAGGCCAGAAGCCATGTCCTGAAAGAATAAAATACACTTCATTAATTTCCTTTTCAGAAAAATAGATTTTCCCTCTATTTTGCATTGTCCACTACTAGGCAACCCCATATATTATCCCCTCCAAAAGGCACCCACAGAATTTTGCCTTATTATTCTCTCTGCGTTCTTGTGGTGGTGGTGGTGGTGGGGGTAACAATATTGATCTCCTTCACCCATTTTTTGCCTGCTCTTTTGCTATTCTATCAAATCCTTTTTTTTGGCTATTCTATCAAATCTTATTCTGACCTCCTTAACCCACTTGCTATACTATGTATTGGGGAACAAGACTGCAATCTTTCACCCATTTCACTTGCTTTTCTCTTTGTCCACCAGTAAACAAGCCAAGCTTATCCACTTCAAGATTAAGGTTTTAAAGGATAAAAGCATAATTAGGGTGTACTAGCCCGAAGAGGTTAGGCATAAGCCTCAAGGCCTAGTGAGGTGTAAGCCTCTAAATTATTAAAAAATGTTACTAAATTAAAATTTATAAATGACAAAAAGAATATATAATGCACATGAATGATGAACAGACATGTATACAAAAAAGACACAATAATTGATAAAAGATCAGAAACTAAAAATTTAATCAGTAAATATAATGATACAGATTGGCACATTTTAAATAAATAATAAAGAATAAATACATAAAATAAAACCATACAAATTTAGAACACATGGTACCATCGATTCATTGAACAAGACCGCCATACAATTGAGTAAAACTAAAAGCATGATGTGAAAGCATTCAGATACTATAGACACACAAACTGCTTCATACAAATTGAGTAAACATTATAAAGGAAAAAAACGAAATGAGAACAAAGAAAAACTCATGTATTTAGGCTCCATTTGGAAGGAGTACAAATACAAATGTGTAGAGCACAAACCTTGTATTTTGTATGTATTTGTACTCCTTCCAAACTGAACCTCAGGAAAATCTCCGCTTCAACAATGTAGAGAACATTAGCATTCACATAGCTTGAAGGGTTTATTACCAAAAACAGGACTTGATGGGTTAAAGTCATTCCTATAACTTATGGGTATTTGTCAACAAAAATGTGCCAGAAGGATAAAAAAAGGAGCCAAAAACAGGACAAAACTTTTTTTCTTTTGTAGAAAAAAAAAAGGAAAAGAAAAGCATACCTGGGATGCTAGATTTCTGGTCACCCAAGAGCTTAAAAGAAAATAAGATAAACTGCTCGATTTGATTAAGAATCAAGAGAGAACAATCAAGGTTAATGCTGCTTCAACAGCAATAACAAATTTTAAAATTTAAACCCTAAGGAACTCAATTTGCCCTCATACACATTTAAGCTCTAAAAACATTAAAATACTAAAAGAAATACATATGTTTTATATTAAAACCCGTTTTTTGTTGCTAACCGTTAAGACTTAGGCCTTTCATAGTCTCATGCCTTAAGGCATTAGGCATAAGCCTCAAATCAATATTCTAAGACTTTTGAGGCTTAATTCTGGAGACCCTTGAACCATACATCTCATGCCTCAAGGCTTAGCCTTTTAATACCATGTTCTAGATGCAGTCATTGAATCTTTCCTTCTTATTCCATTTTCTGTTCAATTTGAGAAGAGGGGGTGAGAGAGAGGGGGAGAGAGCGATAAGATTTTTCATCTATCTCTCAACCATTTTACGTCTCCATTTTATTTCCTCTCTTTTCCCAAACCCTTCAAAGACCATTTGCACAACACTTCAAAGAATCCACAAGAATCAGTTAATGCATACTTATAAAACATGCTGTCTATGTGCTTCTCTAGAACTTACATAAAATAATATAAGCTATTGATGCATAAAAGTAGTAATTATGAGCAAATAATTCATAGTCAAGACACATTATATGCAGGATGATACCCACTTCCTTAGCAAATTTTAAATTACCATTTCACAATGAAATTTGTCAGGGAATATGAAGAACATGCAGGATAAAACAGTGAAAACATTGCAAGGTAGCTCAGTTGGTGAGCTCTCTGGCTGATTTTAGCCAAGACTTGGGATCAAATCCCGATGCCATCAGGTTTGGGGAGGGTTATGGGTATGGTGGTAAGAATACTAAACAAAACAAGATCACCTTTACACCTTGGTATCAAGTATAGAAAATTACCACTTTACCCTATTCACCATACCACCAATGACACTAAAGTCAACATGTCATTCGTAATAAAAATGAAAATGAATTAGTGAACGAAATAATTTGGTGCCAATAATAAGAATATTAAAGAAAGATACATAAATAAAACTCTGTGAAAGGACCAAAATGACCTACTTTTAGTAGCTGTTTCTGTTGTAACAATTCTACCCTTTGCTGGTAAATCTAGAGATTGGATAACTCCATTGCTGATGGACTAGATAGAGATGGCATCGTAAAGGAAATTTTATGTTGGGGATCACACCTACCAGGGTAGCTTCTTTAAATTATTCTATAATGTGTAAGTATTGTTACTCCATCCCTTATCAGGAAAAAAAAAGGTGATCTATCCTTTAAGGAAGTCGTTGTATCTTGCTAAAACAGAGGACAGATTATTGTTCTCTTGTATGATTTATATTCTTGAGATAATAAAGCTCTTTTGATCCCATTAATAGTATTAAAAATATATATTAGAAAACATCTGTCAGTCAAAATATGCACTTTCAAGTTTCAAATTAGTGAAAAACAGGATCAACAATTGTTTTCACCATATTTAACCACAATAACTTCAGTTCAATAAGCATTTCTTTTGTTTTTTTTTTTTTTTTGGTTAAACAATGAATTTAATTAGAAAGAGGACATAGGGAATTAGGGATCAGACCCTTGGAAATAAGGCAGACATTCAACTTACATCGTTAAAGATAAACTACAAACCCCAGCAGAGCAAAAAACCAGCAAACATAAAAATGTAAGACTACCCAACACCCCAAAGAAGCAGGCCAAATACAAAATCAACATGTTCTCAAGAGACAGAACTAACTACATAAGAGGAGATTCTAAATTACCAGGTACCTAATTGTGCACACAGTTGAGGACCTGAGTAAGATTCTAGAAGATAAGCAAAAAGCTTAGCGTGGGTGTGTGTATGTCTGTGTGTGTGTGTCTGCTAAGAAAGGACATATTAATATAGGTATTATTTTATCTTTACTTTCCTTTACTACCTTTTAAATATATAACCATGTTAGTTTAAACCAATGAGTTGGGATTTTGAATAGAAAACTCAAAAACAGAAAATATATAATGTCTTTGGGTTACAGTAATGCCAGAGTTTCTATTTTCTAAATAGTATTTTTTATTGTTTGTTGTCTAATAGTAATTATTTAATTAAAATATATAAAAGTTACTGTATTCGGAAGTTGGAATAGAACTTAACATTAATTGGTTGTTCCATTAAAAATGGATTTAGAATCATTAGTTACTAAATCTGAAATTTAACTTATTCACAACTCCAGCACCCAGTCAAAAGAAACCAGAGTCTAGTCAGGCCTCTTCAATACAATTCTGTACTTAACCTGAAAAACGGAGCTCTATTTTGGACCCAGAACCTAGTAAACAGAGATGGCTATGCTGGACCTCAAGTAAATGGGAACCAAATGTCACACCTACAGAATAGGTGCCAACTAGACATGTACTATTAAGCTGAGAACTGAGAGATCAAATCAGCCCCCCACATTGTCCCACAGCACATCCCCACCGTGTATTGGGAATATCTCCCGATGATAAATATCAAAAATGATGATGTCATCATCGGGAGATGTTCCCAATACACGACGGGGATGTGCTATGGGACGTTGTGGGGGGCTGATTTGAACTCGAGAACTGATACCATATTATACCAAAGAGCCCAGCCAACCTAACCCAGTGTACAGATCACAATTAATTCAACCCATTGAATTATCAAGCTGAGCATCTAGGCATTCAACCCAATAAATAATCCAGCCTACCCTAGATTAGATTAAATCTGAATCCAACCCAAAAGCAATAGCATCTCACCTTGCACAACTACGAGTTCAAGCCAGGTAATCAGCCTCACCTAAAATGGGACAGGTTTGAATGAGGTTATAAGGATAGGGTCAGGATCAGCTCACAACCAGCCCGAACATGGTAAAACAACAGAAATAAAAGCCTAGATCCCAGACACCCTTCCCTTTCAGTTCTACTTTTATTCTACTCATTCTCTTATAAACCTATCCCAAAACTTAGGCAGAGCTAGAGCTTTTCCCACCATGGCCATTGTTTCTTTTCATAAGTCATAACCATTTCCATTTTGATTTCACATTTAAAGTAGGCATATTTGGTATCATTTATTTATTAAGAAAATATTGAGTTTTGCACTTCATTAAGTTAGGCAAGCATGCATAAAAAGCATGAGCTTGGTTAGTCCACATGGATCCACCAGGAAAAAAAAACTAGATTCCTCTGTATGGAGACATCCCCAAATTTTTCCACGATGACAAGTTGGCATTTTTTAGATGAGGTCAGTAACATGATCTTGGTTAATCCACATTACAACTTCCAGGTAATTGATTTCTAAGTCACAGCAGCTGTGCTAGAACAAACCAAGATAAAATCATCCACAATAAAAAGGTAAGAGAAATGGTAAATTGCATGGATACCAATATTTCACCATTATGTACCCCCCCCCCAAAAAAAAAAAAAAAAACAAAAACCAAAAATAAAAGCATAATATCAATTTCGTGTCACAGAGAAAGTATATTGCATCATACCACCATTATTCCGTTTACTGTCCAACCATTATGTGAAAGACAAAAAAGCAGGTCCAAAAGAAAAAGAAATTACTTCAAAAAAAGGGGGGAAAAACAGCTGTAAGTTGTAACAAGAGAGCCCATCTCTTGCAACTCAATGTGGATATAATCATATGCTTGTCAGCTTATTCGAGAGAGAAAGTATGATGACCCTCCCTGATCAAGCAATAAGCTAGGGAATTAGATATGAGCTTCACTTTATCTTTATCACCGCATGTTTTACCCAATTCAAAACTTTGGGTTTTACCTTGGTGGCTGCAGGTATCCATTCTCTCCTCCATGCTTAACATGACACCAAATGCTTTCTTGTTAAAACGTCTGTTGTTAATTTAAACAACACTTGTAAAAGAAAAGAGGAGATTAGAACAAATTGAATTAGTGAAGAAAGACAACATGACATATTAAATATAATTTCGAATTTAATTATATAAATGATCTCACTACTTCAACTAATGCGAAATGATTTTTACAATAGAAATGAAGGAACTTGCATAGGCTTGATTGCAATCCAACCCAATAAAAGAATTTTATCAATCTTAAGAAAAATAAAAGATTGTAAATCTGTATGGCATGTCTATATCACTGCTCGCTCATATGTAACAAAGGGAAAATGAACCTGGATAAACTCTGATGAAAGCATATTCGTTCCCCAAAATCAAGATTGAGAAAGAAGAAACAAAATTCTCAATTAGAAACAAGGTAAAAGAATAAGAAACTGCCAGGATCTTCAATCAAGAAAACCTGTTTTCCGCCACACGGCATTTCGAACCTGACGCAGATCTCTTCCCTTCAATGTTCTTCCAGCTCCTTCAAGAACCGAAAATGTAGTCATCGGCGAACGAGCAGAACCCCTAGCGACAATCTCATGCGGCGGCAGCATTTCATCCTCTCCCTCGTCATCTTCAACTTCGAACAAAGTCCGGATTCTTGAGCCCCCCGCCCCCTTCGGCAGCACCGGCACGTTAACTGGAGCCGACTGGTGGTACTTCCCGTTAGGCACCGACTGAGAGTACTCTCTCTCCTGAGGAATTTGAGGAGGCTTCGGAATCGCCGGAATCATCCGCGAAGACGAGGAGGACGGCGACGGAGTCGAAGAAGATGAAGAAGAAAATGAAGCCTTCCGATACAAGACAGGCCGGTCCCCTACTGGTGGCTTCGTCTCGTCTTCCGGCAATGCCGCGAGAATGCCAAAACTATCCGGTCGCGGGAAACCCATCGACTGGTGATTCCGGCGAACCGTAGAGGGTGAACTCTTCGGCTGACGGTTCGATTCGGAGAAATCTCCGGTCCAAAACACTTCATCTTCGTTAAGCTCGTCACCCGCGCCGGTTACGCCACTACCGCCATTCGCTTCTGTAGACGGAGGCTGCGAGAAGATACCGAGGAACCGCTCCGACGAGGGAGACTTACGGTGACGGAAAGCGGAGCCGCCGTTAGTTTCCATGTTGTATAGGGTTTACTGAGACGAAGAATTTCGTCAGTATCTGGCGTCCATGAGTCAACACAGCGTCTTCTCGCCAGAGAGAGAGAGGATCAGAGGAATGTGGGAACGGTTGCTTTCTGCTTCGCGCTTTATAGAGAGAGAGTGGGTGGGGAAAGTGGGGAGGATGGTGCGACGTGGCGGGAGATTACGGATAGAAGGGATGTAATGATGTTGAGGTGGGACCCACAATCGGAGAAAATAGATACGTCGGCACGATACAGTTGAGGGCGACTGATTGGACCCCCACCTGAGATCGATGGAGACTCCACGCGACTCCCTCATGCAGATTATCTCCGGGAGATAGTACGATGAGGCATCCTCATCAAAACAGCAATCCGGCGATCCTCAAGATGCCACGTTTCCTTTTAAGTTCGGATCCACCACCGCAATAAGATAAAGCTTTAAACCGAAAGGCAGATGAGTTTGGATATGGATTCGGTCTGGATAAGGCTTTATTTGTAAGCAAATGTCCGGATCCACTGTACCGAAAGAGTCAAAAATACCCGACCAGATCTTAAACGTAATAGACAAGCAGGTGTTATTTATCAAAATTTTTGGGTGGGTTTTGATTGGTTAAAACTCTTCTCGTATTATATATTTTTCGCATGATAGGAATTTGCGTTACGCAAGGTCACAATTTAGTACTTTGGGTTTAGGGTACCTCGGGTTCTCATGCCTGGGTCGGATCCTGGCTGATACGGGTCGAATTACCGCTCTGCGTTATGGGCCCTTCTTCTGACAGTTTGGTTGGTTGTTGACGGACCAGGACCTGCAAATTTATTGCAAATGGATTCCAGTAATGCAATGAATCCAAAATGCAGTTGTCATTGAAGCCATGAAAACAGAGGAATTGAGAACATTTGGATCTGGGCTGTGATTGGCCCAGTGAGAGGTCCATTTATTAAGGCCCCGTTGTTTGTTTGCAGTACAATTCCATTTGCACTGGTATATGCACGAAAATAATGTAAATTTCATTCACTTTTACTTATAAGATGCAATTGGGGAATCGTGGTGGGTTGCATTTGGATTTTTGATATTTGCGTTAAGCTTGGGTTTAAAAATTTAGGCTTTTTGTGTTTTGGGTTGGGCTTAGGAACCTTTGGGTATATCGAATCTAATCCAATTTTCTTTTAATCCAAAGCCTGATTTGACTATATACATATATACATATATAATATATATATGTATATATGCATCATTGTTTTTAAAATCAGACTGGCCAAATGGTCAGACCAGAAAAACCGGGAATCGACCAAGTGACCGGTTTCATTTTTTTCCAAAAATTATTGATTTTGGTCAAAAAACCGATGGCCCGAGTGATTAACCATTCGAATGGCTTTGATCATTTTTTTTATTTATTTTGTTAGAACAGGCAGATCATTCAGTTCGAACGGTTGGCTCGTTCGACCTTGGAATAGACCCCCTGACCGGTTCCTTCTCCGAATCGGTTTTAAAAACCTCGATATGCATGCATGTATCCATAAACATATACATTTATATTAAATTTTAGATGTACTGATTGATCGATTAGAGTCGGCCCAAGCCTGAAGCCAATACGACGTGCAACCTGGGTCTTGGTTTTGACCTCAAACTTGGTTGGGCCTGAGTTGAGCTTCATTCTTAACTTTAGGGCATTTATTCGGATACGGGTTGGATCCAGGGTGCTATAGAGTTGAAAATAATCGAACCTTAACGCTGATGCAGTTACATGGTGTCGTTGTTAGTGAGTTCAAATCAGCCCCCAACAACGTCTCACAGCACATCCCCACCGTGTATTGTGAACATCTCCCAATGATGACATTTTTGGTATCATCATCGGAAGATGATATGTTTTTGTAAGCACTCTCTCCAACAAAACTCTTCATAAAGGGTATGCTTAAGGTGATCGTTGTGATCTAACCATCATTTTGTCATTCCCCTATATTATGTGTTTGGTTTGAAACTTAGGATCCGTTTGAGAGGGCTGAAGTTTTGATTGAATTTATGGATAGCAGTTATATGAATTGGTTTGAAATACATCTCAAATATGTTTTTGTACTTATATGTTGCCCTAATTGCTGTCTTAATGTGAAAGCAACAACGAATTGTGGGGGCTGCAAGCATGTTGAAAACAATGTTGATCAGCACTTCAATTGGTAATGCCCATGTCTAATCTATACTACTAATAAAATAGCTGATGTAACCGTTTGTGGTCATGTACCAATTTTTTGTGATGTATAAATTTTTTTGGCTAAGTACCTCGTTATTTGACCCGGTGGTGACGTGCTTTGGTGATGAGCTACTTGGTGGCAAACTCCTTGGTGGATAACTGCCTGGTGGAGAGCTACTTGGTGACGAGCTACTTGGTGGTGAACTGCTTGGTGGCGAACTCCCTAGGGGAGAACTGCCTGGTGGACTCGTCATTTGACCTGCTCCTAAGCGGCCTGCAACTCAGAGGATGGTGGAGCTCCCTGGTGCAGCGCAACCCGACTGCCCTCTGCATGAGGTGATTTCCTCTCCTTTGTAGGCGGCGGGAGCTAAGAGACCTACGAGAACTAAA